AATGATGCCATCCATTTTCTGTTTCATTTCTTGAATATCTTGACCATTGTTCCTGGTAGTGTTGAGTAGTTCATTCAATAGTTCATCATCAGTGTTGTATTGATTGGTATCAGTATTACTGGTATCACTGCAGGTAGTACAGGCTGCAGTACAGGTATTGTTAGTAGCATCAAATGTAAGAGCAAGATTAGAACTACTGATAAACTGAGGGAGACAAGCAATAGCTAGTATAAGAAGAGAGAGCATTATTATCCTCTTTGTAATGATTGTTTACTGTTTACTCCTTACTCCTTTTATAATATTCAGAAGAGCCTGACTAATGATGTCAGTCATGATGCTGTATGTAATGGGAAACATTCAAAGAACGTACTCTATAGTAGAAGTAAATCATAGTAGTGGTTTATTGCATTAGTATTATTGCATTAGTATAATTACATTGTGGTAGTTTGAGAATGCAGTGAGATTTTAATTAAAAACTGGTTTATGTATTATTTTGTTGAGTTTATCAAACATTAGAAGGGATAACAATCCTGTGGGAACTCTTCCCCACTTATTAAAAAGGACCTCTTGGGTGTGCAAATGTCAAAGGTTAACAATTTGCCATTCCAGGCAATATCTTATAGATCTTAGAAAATAAAATATTGCACAGGTGACCGTGAAATGCTGCAGACTGCTGCCATCCTGTTGTATAGTTTGTATATTATACTTTCCTTCATTTGAACATCATGTATCAATATTTTACCATCTTTGATCTACTGAAAAGGAGACATTTAAGAGTGATAGTAAATCAAATGCAAAGGGAGAGATTAGAGCTCAAATACCTCACCAGTAGGTGCAGGTGCCAATATAAGCAGCTCTCATGGGAGTAGGTCTAGACCAAAATATAGCTATATCATAGTTCCGCCTATGGTGGTCAGGGGTGGTCAGGACAACCACTTCAACAAACGAACCAACCAATTCATCACTTAGGGCAACCATGCAATAAATACTAATAACCATACATAAAGCATGATATTGTAGTCTACTAGTATGGTGTACATAAATTTAAAAGAAACAATAATAGTCTCCAACCACCTCTAATTTATTTCTAGGTAGAACCCTGATATATGGTGATGAATTTTCAAAATCTAATATTCAGAATACAAGTGGGTTTGGTGGAGCGGGTGTGGTACACTGCTACGGCTAAGAGAGACTGACAATATACTATATCTATAGGATCCTTCAGTTCACCATCACTCTCATTCTCTTAATGATTCTTTTAATAATAACTATAATGCATACTCAATACTGGAATGAATCACAAGAAAAGGGAGGTTATCAATCATCTTTATAAGAAGATTAAATGCTGCAAAACTCACCCACAGCTGTTGACAGAGCTAAAACTGTGGAAATGTTTTAGAAACAACTTTTATGGCTGTAGGGTATTCCAGATGTAGTACTAATAAATCGTAGGAATTTGACCATCATTTCGGCTGAGGTATTGCTTATTTCTTCTAGCACGCATTTACATGTAGTTTTTTAAAATAGGATAAACACATGAAAGAACACATTAATGCACCTATTCCAGAGAATAGTGATGTGGGTCAGCTCCTCTTTTATATGCTAGGTACTTTTATCGTGAATTCTGAAAAGAATGAGCAGCAGCAACTTGGGATTTATATTGAAGGAGAACATGTTAGTTATAATGTAAATGATTATCATACAGAAGGATAATTTGGAGGTAGTTAAATTTGATAGCCATTCGCCAGAATAAAAATCTGCTATTTTGAGCCATTATACACATGCTCAATGGCACATGGCCACAAATTCACCAAGATTGAGCATGTGGCGTCACACACCAGGGGGGGCAGGAGTGGTTGGTTTTGTTGTCAGAAAATTAGAGGTACACTTTGATAGAGCAGTTGTAGCTTTTGTAAGCCTAACAAGGCCAGTATTGGTAGAGTGTGAAGAAGTCATAATGAAGTATGTGAATTACCACATTATGGACTTCTGATCACAGGCATACATGAAGAGCCATACTGTAGTAAAGATGGCGAGGTCCAAACTCCAATTATGCACACTTGGTTGAAAGAATAATGAAAAATGAATGGCTTTTTATTCACACATGCCTATTAGTGTCTTTTGCATCCTATGCCAGTAACTATTGCAGTTGATGCAACTCAATTTTGTTGTATGTAGAGTATATTTATTTTTTATAGACTTCTTGAGACATTTAGCTTAGGCCTATAAAAAGGCAAGCAACTTCATGTTTCTTGTTGGAAACATTTTAGAATGATTCAAAGCTACAAGATAAATTTATCAGTTTCTAAAGGACAATTGTGACTTCAATTGACAATCACTTTTTGTTTAAAAATTATTGAAAAATTTTAAAAATAATTGTTTAATTAATTAAAATTAATCAAATTAACTGGTGAGAATCATAATGATAGGCGGATTGTAGAGACAACACCATTAGCCCATTCATCAAAGTCAGGAAGGCTCCCTGTTACATCGCTGTTAACTTTAGAGACAACACCAATGGCAAGTGGTATTTTTACTCATGATAAAGAAAAACCAAAAACTTCCAAAAATTGGAGCCATTTGACTTGTTACTTGGATTGAGCTCTTGAAGCATACCATGTCATTAGTGATTTAAAATCCGCAAGAAACAATAAAGCTCACCCTATATAGTGTTACGTTAATGTTAGCGTAAATTAATGATAATTATGTGCTAGCTGAATCATGTTCCTTTCCATCTAGTAAGGCTCACAGTAACTGCAGGTTGGAACAAGTTAGGATTCAATCTTTCTGCAACCAGTGGCCATAAACTCCTATGCTATCATTGTTTCAAGCCTTGTTTAATAATTCTTTATCTGGCAATACACCAACTAGGAGGGATTGATCCTCAGGGCAGGGCCCTTGAATTTAACCCACTTTTGTGGGTTACTAAAAATGCAACCAGGGTAACCCACCTACTGGTAACTTTAACTACTTATTTTGGTGGGTTAATTACCACCTCACCATTAACCATATATTACAGTTATTTTCACCCACCACAACAGCCCATGCAAGTGAACAAAATAGTACACTCTCAACTAAGAGGTATAGAACTATCTTCATTGACTGAATTATACAACTTGTAAAGATACTTGATAATAATTGCTCAAGTCCAAATCCAACAGCTCGTGGTCAATTGAGGACCAATATTTCGAGCACATTTCTCAAAGATGTGGAAATTTCATTAATATATCTAAAACATTAGCCAATAAGCATCAAATGATGTTAATATTTTACTTAAAAAATCCAGAGGCTGATATTTTCATGGGACTTTAGATAGACGGACAAGCAGTGTTTCTTAGTAACTGTTGAGGACCGTTCAAAAGCTACATTGATCCCTATAATACAGAAATTTATTAAACCAGGTACTACTATTATGTCTGACTGCTGGAAAGCATACAACAAGTTACAACAGCTTAGGTATAGGCATGGCACGGTTAACCACTCAGTAGAATTTGTCAACTCTGAAACAGGTGACCATACTCAAACCATTGAAAGTACATGTCATTCAGTTAAGGCATCTCTCCCACTGTACAGTACTCAATAAACACATGTACAAGTCATAATTCGTGGAATATCTCTTTCGTCATAAGTACTTTTAAGGTGAGTCTGACAAATTCCTTATCTTCCTTGATAAGATCAAAACCGTTTACACTTCCACTCACCATCTGTGATTTCACCTCATTCCCATTCTTCTCATGCACTGTCAGGCATTGAAGAAAATGGAGTTTAGTAATTCACAATTAATGGACATCTGCCTAATTGAAGCAATGGAACCAAGAGTCAGAGAGATTCAAAGTAGGATGGCCAAAACTATGTAAATACCAATCCACTTCATGAGAGATGAGTAAGATTATTTCAATCTTTATTGGAAAAAGCAATCATTAGTATTTGTGTTGGCCATAGAATCTAGCAAATATGATCTGTAGCTGGGTAGCTTGCATATTAAGCTATGAATTAACAAGAATTTGAAGTTTCATCAACTAACTGTTCATGGAGCTGGATGTATTGCATAATATAAAGTTAATACTGCTTGTATAATAAAGATTACATTGAATTTTAAAAATTACATTGAATTTTAAAGAAACAAGTTCCAATTTAATTTTGACAGATGTTTTGATTCATAATTTGCTATTGGAAGTGATATACCATGAGATGTCAATTCTTTAAGAGATAAAAATAAGAAAAATGAATACAGACTCTCTAAGAGAAGTCCATTCGTACCTTTACTTTAGTTCAAAGAGGAAAGAAGCATTTGAATAAAAAGTTGTAACATCTCAGTGACATTTCCAATAACTAGTTAAACTGAAATAAGTACATTGCTAAGAATAAGTGTGCCTAATTATCAGATTACTATATGTCCTCACATAAAGGTCTGCCTCTCAATTAGAAGACTTGATTTAAGGGACACTGTACCAAGTACATAAGAACCTTCAAACAGAAGTCTGTGTTCAACTTAAAGATAAGACATAAGAGCCCAGGCTTTTTTCAATGGTTTTATTATTATCATGATGGCTGGTAATATAAATTTGCTTTCATAAAGCATGAATAAACCAAATTATCACTTTAATAATACTTCAATTTGTGAAGAATCGATAGTCACTTGTGCTGATACTATTGCGAAAATCTACAGCAGAGTAGAGTAATGCTGGGTGAGAGTACTACTATCACAATCAATAGTTTTAAAAGGCATCACAATTTTGAATGCCATCACAATATTCACTTTTAAGTGCTTGACTTCATATTAGTATATAAATACAATAAGTTGTTATAGATATAATTGTTCACAAGATAAAGTTAAGAGGTTAAATGAGATTTCAGACAGTAATAATTGTTACAGAAGACCACAATAATAACTTGAAATACAACACTTTACCCACTCTTGTGTTAGTGGTTTAGCCTGGAGTATCAGTCACTCATTGAACTCTTCCTGTGGTGGCTTCCATTCATTGAGATACAATAAAATCCTGGACAGATCATTGCTCAGTATCGAAACGGTTTCTATTTATCAGAAGCCAATTCTACATGTACATACAGGTGCATAATACTATCAACCTCATGAAAGAAGTTTGCCACCAAGTCTTGGCCTGTACTAACAAAAATGCAAAAAGTACTACATTGGAGTTGCCAACATTTGTTGGGAATACTGCAGCCATTTCTGTGGACCAGAGTACAGTGACATGGGCCTATACTGCTGCCAGTGGTGGCCATAACAAAGCTGGTACAAGCAGAGTACAATAGATTTTTTAATTTATCAGAAGTCAATTCCACATGTAAAGCAGTTGACTGTGGTGGGGTGTCCAGGGATACGTATTCCTCTTTCTGGCCCGAGGACAATGAGGAAGAATTAGAGGGAGAAATAGAGACTCAAAGTACTTAAACATATGCATTATTGTTACTCATGTGTACTATATAGTAGCAAAGAGAAGACAAGTGGCAAAGAAAGTACAGGAGTACTTTCAAGATCACATTGCCAGGGGCGTGACTCCGCATCTGAAAATATACCAGCAATTCATTGCTGATTGCGACAGTAACCTAAGTTCGAAACAGGTACAGGACAAGGTCTGCAACCTATTAAGGCAAAGGCCCAAGCATTAGTAATCAATTATCCATTCCTTACATTAATTCACTTTTTAAATCAACTTTATTTAATCTTCTGTAACCACCAATTTAATGACACATTTAATCTCATCCTTTTTATCAGACATTTAGTCACTTTACTCATCTAATTTATCAAATGCAATTAATCACTTAATTTAGAATATTCAAGTTATCTGCCACTTGATTAATCATTGCCTAATCCTTGGTACAACATTTAAATTTGTTTGATGGAGATAAAGTTCTCACAGTGCTCCTCCATTCATCAGAGAGTGATATTAGAAGAGTAATTTTACATGGCTATAAGGCGTCCGGCACCTTACCTGTTCATATTGCTTTACCTACATTGGTCTTCATGGTTCTCTAGTAATGGTTCAGTCCCTTGATGATAACAATAACGCTATTAATGTTGATACTTTCCTTGATTTACTGCAAGATGTAAGATCAACCTCCATGATTTCTAATTGTCAGTACATACAGGTGCATAATATTACTGCCAACCACATGAAAGAAGTTTGGCACCAAGTCTTGGCCTGTGCCATCCTATATGCAAAAAGAGTTCCCACCATCTGTTGGGAATGCTGCAGCCATTTCTGTGGATCAGAGTACACTGACATGGGCCTATACTGCTACCATTGGTGGCCACCACATAGCTGTTACAAGCCAAGATATGATAGAGGTGTTGGGATTCATAGAACGTTACAAAAAATTAAGCCTTAATGGTGATTTTAGTGACTCAGCCAACCACAATAAACAAATTTGGCACCAAGTCTCACTCTTCAACTCCTTTCAGGGAACACCTTTAGCCTAGACCTGTCATTAGTCATTACAGCTCTCAAAGCTGAATATTACAATAGTCCCACACTGTACTAATGAATCCAGTAGTGATATGCAGTTTTCAATACAGTAAAGGAGACTGGTATTCACCACCAGCTACAGAAAATTGCTTTGATTTAAAAAGGTCTGCAGAGCCCACTCAGCCCAGATGAGATTACAGTCACAACATAATTAAGTAATTAGTAGAAAGGTGCTAATGAAATTTATAAATTTTGGAACATGCTCGAAATTAAAGAATCAATTTAAGAAACATAAATGAGTGCAAAATTAAATTCTGGCTATTTTGTGTCCACTCCAAAATGGTTTTGCATGAAGGTCAGCTCACACACAGACTGTTTTGTTGAATATAAACCTAGCTTAAAGAATACTTTTAAAATTTTGATGAACAACATTGATTTAATTTATATTTTTATAGGAAATTTTGTTTAGCTGATATAACTGCAGCTATTTTGGAACTGCCACTCTCAACCATTGAACTTGCCATTATTCCAATACATATGCAGATATATGTTAAAGCTGAATATTATAATAGCTCCACACTGTTCTAGTGAATCCACTGTAGTTAAAATTTATGCAGTTCCAAGAATATAAGACAAGAAATGTCAATGCAGAATAACCTATGTGATATTTTGCCAAAGGAGTTAGTCCCAAATATACTTGAATGCTACTCACTATTTACAAATGGGGCACATATTTATGCATTACATCAACCAGTGGATGCAAAAGAAGCCACAAATAGGCATTTCGAACAATCATTGAGTATGTTCATAAAAAATTAAGCCTTAATGGAGATTTAAGTGACTTAGGCAACCACATGAAACAAGTTTAGCACCAAGCTCACTTTTCTAACTCTTTCATTGACAAACACCTTGATCATAGACTAGCAATTACTTGAGACAAGGCTCTTAGATCAAATGTTAAAGCTGAATATTATAATAGCTCCACACTGTACTAGTGAATCCACTGTAATTAAAATTTATGTAGTTTTCGTTACAGAGGAAAGGAGACTGGTATCTACCACCAGCAACAGAAAAGGTACTTTCTTTTGAAAGGTGCACGGAGCCCAGATAAGATTACAGTCACAACACGATTGAGTAATTTGTAGAAAGGTGCTACAAAATTTATCATTGACTAGGAGGATGAGGAATCCTCCAACCATCTCTCTTCAACTCTCAGCACTTCTCCACATCATCTAACCAATTTAAGAAAGTATACAAATGGTACATTTTTACTGCAGTAGTGTATATCCTTTTCTTCTGAAAATAGGAAGTTTATTCATAGTATAAGAATTTGCAACGAACCAGATTACCTGCCTCCTACACTAATGCCACATATTAAACCAAGGACTGTCACTCATGAGGCAACTAACATTGCTCGAATGATGAAACAAGAAGTTGAAAAGAACCTGATGATATCCCAGGCTTGAAAGTAATGCTAACGTATTTTGTACATGATATTAATTTGAATATAGAAGCCACTGTGGTCTGGGAAAGAAATTGAGGAATTCAAGTATTAAGGTTCATGTGATGATTTAGGCATTGGCAATGCCAAGATTTGGTATGGCATCCGGGACTGCAAAATAAGGACAAATGCATCCGGAGTGGTTTTTAAACATTTAATTGACTGATTCCATTTTACTGAATAGTTAGTTATAATAGTTAGTCCGTTATAAGGCATTTTGTAGATGGTATTCATTTCAAGAGAAACTACTCTGGTCTGGGGAAAGAGTCAGGAATTTCAAGTATTGAGGTTCATTGGTGATGCTGAGATTTGGTACAGTATCCCAGAGAGCAGGAAAAGGGCTAAGGATTCCAATGTTGTTTTTCAACATTCACTGATGCTGTTTTTAATGAGTTTCAATCACACTTTCACATATCCCAAGGCATCTACTTGTGCAATGAATTGATACTTACGACATTTTACTGTGAAAGCTAGAATGATTGTAAAGAATATGCTGTTAGTTATTGGGAACTTTTTTAGAAACCATCATTGTCTATGGCAAAAACTATAATTTTGGAGTAGAAGAAGCTATT